GACAGAAGTATTACACAATAAGCTATAATTTCACTTCTTTATTTTACAAACAAAAATTATACCGGATACCGACTGGTGACTACTTGGGAGAAATTACAGACAAGCTAACTGAGTACGGTCCAGGCTCTTACATTGTTTAGTTTGTTTCAGGTGATCCAAAGACAAACGCGTACTTGGTGTTTTCAACCAATAAAAATGCTCTAGTTGAGTTGTGTAAAATTAAAGGGTTGACACATAACCTTTACACAGTGTTCTATCTCATTCGCTTATGTAACGCGGTTCAAAGAACACGATGAAGTCGTGTAGAAGGTCATGTCCCAATTTGATATTTGTCTCGATGGAAATGTATACAAAAATAAATATCTCGACTGTTTTTTACATTTGAAATACGTAAATTTACTTCTTCTAATGTATGGTTTCTTTTTAGAACGTGAATACTTTTAGTCAGAATACATTTTGGTTATATAATGAAATACCCCATGTTCCTTTCGCCAATATGAACATATGAAAACAAATGATTTATTATATTCACACTTTCTTTTACTTCCGACTTGATACCATATTTGGGTTATAATATATTAGAAAAACATTCTAATTACACGGAATTATTTAGTAAAAAAAATAGTGGTATAAAGCACTTTTTAAATTTAACAAGATAAGATACTTGAAGTGATTGTCAATGCCATACTCAGAATACTGTAGTTTCAATAATCTACAGAATCATCAGTTATAATCCTGATCGTATGTATAAAAAATAAAAAAAAAAACTAAAAGTATTATTAAGATACGCTAAAACGGATCGTAATATTAAATAAATAAATTTACATACAATATAAAACCAGTAACAATTATTGAGTGAGGCCTTACTCTATTTCTACATTTATGCTATTTATGAAATGTTCTTACGTTAGCTGCAACTGTTGCAAGCTAACGTATTCAATATAGTCTAATATCAACTGTCCAATAAATTACATGGGGCAGTTTGTTTTTCTTACCATTCTAGTAAAAAAAAAAAAAAAAAAAAAAAAAAAAACAGGTTTAACTCGAGAGAGGTTTTTGATGGATCCGTAAAAGTAATTCCCAAATGGTAAAACAACTCTTCCTTTGTTCGATCAAAGTGTACAAGAATGTGTTTGTTCTTGTCTCGTCTCCCGACTGAACAGAAGTACAGAGAGCTCTCATTCCTAGGGGATTGTGCCTTTATGAGCGTACGATTGTATTTATATATTGAGGATTCTAAAAAAAAACAATATTTATAGGTCAAGCAGTTTTATTAACGTCTTTAAATTATTTATCCCTATGTTATTAAAAAAAAAACTTAACATATAGAAATAAAATTTAAGTTAAGCTAGTTGATCACGTTTATAATCAAGTGTAAAACATTATATCAGAAATAGTGTTAACGACACTCGTAAAATTTTTTAAGGCACTCGTCGTGTCGTTAACACTATCTTTACGCAATCGTTGCGTAAACTACTATATCAAAATGATTTATTTTATATATGTTTGCCGATAAATTTAAATCATACAAGTGAAGCTAGAGGTGTAAAGGGTAGTAAATACTGGAAAAATGTATTGAATTTAATAACTAGTGGGGCTAACCTTTTTTGTATTATACTGTATATACAGACACCACCATCAGTAGAGTTTTGGATAACGGATTTATTGTAGAGCTTTGGGAAAATATTTGGTTCGTTGACACTGAAAAGGTTCATCGAACCCTCAGTAATAATAGCGAGTTAATAATACGGGAAGGGATTAGAAATCTTAAAAAATACAATTGGAAACACAATCATAATACACACCATCTAATGTAAATGCTAAACCGATTTAATGTTATTTTATTGCAGTAAGATATAATATCCCATTGAATAAGTTAACAGCTCAAGTAGAACGAGGGCAATAATTGCCTGACACAGCGCACACCTGAGCCTTGGTTAAAGAGGCTGTCACACACAAGAGACACACAGTTTATCTCTTTTCTTACCGTCAGGAGAAAATGTAAGACGTTTCAAAGTTTATCAATTAGTTTATTATGCTACGCATCATTAATTATGTTGAACTATAAAAGTTTAATTTTTTTTGTTGCGTCACAATAATTTTAACGGTGGTTGTTTTGAATCAAACAGGAAATTTCCAATAGTAAAAAGTTAATGTTTGATTACTTAGTTTTCTTTCCAAATAGTCAAATTTTTACATTTTCTTAACATGGTCGTTATGAAACTATGTATGTATTTTAAAGTAGAAGACATCAATTTTAGAAAGAGATAATAATTAACTTTGTCCAATCCAAAATTTCAAAATGGTGCCCGTTAAAATGTTATAAAATTAAAATATTAAAGAATATTATGATGTTATAAAAAAGGTCAAGAACCACTTTTAAATGTTTATATTAGACTACAACAGCCGCAATAGTAAGTCGTGAATGCATATTGAAACCGTGTGATGGTTGTTGTGTTATGAGAGGGGCAAGGAAAGGGAACTTCAGTGCTTAATCAAGTGTTTGTATGCAATAATAGAGGTTGTCTTCCATCTAAGGGAGGGGAAAGGGGGGTTAAACGTGAGAGGTTAAATGAGACAGATGTTATACATTACAAACCTACAATAGTTTGTATGCCTTATAATGTATTTCATCTTTGGATAAAGAATATCACAAGGCTTTTACTAGAGGATGTTCTCCACTCCAGACAGAGTACTTCTCATTTTAGATACCTATCCCATTTGGTGAAGGTAGGGTATGTATATGCACAATTATAGGGTGAACTATCAACCATTATAATATTATAACGTAGCTTTAAGCCGTAAATAATTTGTGGGATTTTGACCCGTTTCTTCACAATATTGACTGTAGCAACAAGACCAACCTATTGTAAGGTACTTAAATGTTGTATTAATTTTATCAAACTTTCTAAAGATATTTGAGAAAAATCACACAGGAAGGTGATAATATTATTTATATTTATATCATTTGTATAGCTTAGGGTCAAAAGGAAATTCCAGATATTCCAAATTTGTTACAAAATATTTACCTCCATACTAGTAATATTACACAGCAACAAATTTCATTACTAATGATAAATATATTTAAACCACTTACAAAGAAAAGTTAGGTATATATTTTACATTTGAAAAAGGCTACCTAAGTTTACCTCCTCTAATATTTGATTTCTTTTTAGAACGTGAATACTTTTGGTCAGAATACATTTTGTTATATAAATACGACAAGATCATTGTTATATAAATACATTTGCCTATATGAACATATGAAAATAACTTATTATATTCACACTTATTTGAAATTTGTTTTACTTCTGACTTAATGACACAGATACCATATTTGGCTTACAATATATATAAAAAAAAAACTCAAATTACACGGATTTATTTAGTAAAAAATTCAATATTGGTGGTTTCGAAACCTGGACGGACAGCTTTCGATCTTTAGAGTGTATTTTTGTATCAAATGTCAATATTCACAATAGTTGAATGTAAAAATATTGTTTGTACCACTTAAACAATATATTTATCAGAAGTTATGCAATGGAACGTGATAAAACCAGGATGCCAATTCAAAACCCCTCCTAATGAAACCGTCGAGATATTGTTTGAGTTAGTTAATTAACTTGTGTTGTTTAGCCCCCATGGCACCAATATTGCATTCAGAATGTGTATATATACATGAAGCTGTCCCCATATCACTTACAAATAGTTAGTATTATTTCTGTCCATAATTTCTGGTGATTATCTGCAATATTTTTTTTTTATAATAGGCCCTAATTAAGATTTTTTAAATAATTTATAGCAAGTAAATTTAGTTGGATTGAAATGCCTTATTTAATCATACATACAATTAAATACGTGCAAAAAACAATGTAGGGTTTATAAATAATGTATGATCAATACTACTGTTTTTTGTTTGAAAAAAAAGTGAAATAAAACATTAAGAAAATATGGACACTGATTCCGTACCAAACAAATACTTAAATATCAAACGAGAGACCAGAATAAAAATGTTTCTCTACACTTAATGAGAAAAATTTTCTCAAGTTAAAACAAATAGTTAAATAGTCATCAAATTAGTTAAAACAAACTGTTGTAATTAGTGTTTTTGAGTGGTTTGGGAGACAAGGATTTTTGTCTATGAGTTCCAGGTCCGAATCTCGCCAACCACTAATCATGTTGAGCCACATCATTATTCTACGACCCTACGGTTTAAAATCTCATTCAAACAGTTATAACGGGTTTAAAGAGGAAACTACAGGAGTGTAAGGAAAGAATTTTGTCTTGCGAAAACATCTCTAAAATCTCCTTCCTAAAATGTTATTTGAAATATATTTAATTGTAATAATAAGCATGTAAATATTTACATTTTTATACCTATACGAAAATAGAACCTTTGTTCAAATCTTGAAAAAATTTACAATATGTCAAAGAGACGTCCCATATTGTTATTTTTTGTGAAGGTGTGTTTAATACAACACTTTTACAACCAATGAAAACACAAATACAAATGCGATAGGTCAGGAAAAAATATTTGTTAGGACTTGTTAAATAAATAAATGAAAGAAAGTAAAGTTGGAATAGAAATTTTAACTGATAACAGTAGTAAATTTGAAGTATTGGTGCATTAATTTATTGTTAGTTGAATAAAAATATCATGAATCAAAATACGTAAAAATTAAGAATTTATGAGGAGGTGATGGGCCAAGAATATCATAAAATAACTGGCCTAAATATTTTGCTAAGAAAATAAAACCAGATTTCAGTTAATAGAAAACTACATTTCTATTGGTGTAAGCACCAGAGTTGAAACCACCAGAACACTCCATTTGTCTAATTAGTTTACTGTGGGCCGGTAAACACTGTTACATTACGTGTTTCATTAAACATCTTTTATTTACGTAAACCTAATGAATATTGTGGTAGATTTACATACATGGCTCTATTAAATTTTCTATTGCATTTCCCTGAATACATTTCAATGATTCGTTTGTTTCCAGGTGTAATTCGTGGAACCTGGGAAACACGTCTAAGGTAATATTGTCTTATGTATTTGCATTGCACTATTAAATAGAGGAATAATTGCGCATTGATTCAAAGCCATGGTTAAAAATAATAAAATTTATTGTTGGATTTGCATATTCTAAATATTATTTTACATAAAATTTGATAATACAGAGATATTACAGTATCATTCAAATTAATCAGATTTTTTAACTAGGAATATATAAAAGTTGGCACTCAAATGCATCTAGTTTTCCTTAACGGTATTTAAATTACCTAATAATAATAACATTATGAAGTGTTTATAATCATATAGCATTTAATATTAATAGTTTGTCTTTTAAATTAATACGTGATACAGAGCATGTGTGTGGCACAGACGAGGTTAGACCTGATGTTTGTGACAAGTTACTTGCATGTAGCCGACGGCTCCAAAGTTAACCTCAACAAGTTAACTGTCAACATATTAATGTATCTCAGCGGTCAAACAGTTACAAACATAAATTATATTGAACATCTGTTTGTAACGTCCGTGATGAGAAAACAACATGATTAGAATGATTGAAGTTTCTTTTTTTAGGTTAGCACAGTTGTAATAATTATTCATCATAACGTTAGTTAGGTTAATCAATGTATCACCGTATCACCCCCCCCCCATCTCCCAAAAAAACTTACGGCAAAATATGAACAATACAGTTTTTGATTCCTAATCAATCTATAAACTACTTTTCTTATTAACTGTTTGTGACATCTTATAATAAACTTCTTTTTAATTGTGATATCGAATGAACAATGGCGAGTATATCAATTGCTCAAAAGCCTAGCTTAGATCAAAATCAAGAACTCTAAACACATAATTTGTTTAACAATCAAGTTCTTACACGTATATCCTATGATGTAGTATTACAACAACCATGTAGATGTTTTATCAACGTGTGGTGTTTTTGAAAAGATATGTAAACCTTCAACAGAGCATTCTGCTTTTTTTATAGATTTCAAGCCTAAACCAATGACGATAACTCGGAATGTTTAAGTGTAATATAGTAGGTTTTCAAATGAAGGAAAAGCCTTGTATTAGTAATCATAAACATGTTCAAACTGTATTTAAATTACACTAGAAAAACCTAATAACACTATATTTCAATAACATGCTTTAAAGAGGGAATATAGTTCAACGAAAAATAATGGCATTTGAGTGAGAATTCTTGCAAATATAAGGGGACCTGAGAATACATGCCAACTTCTCTTATTCCCGTTCTTAAAAGAAGATATATAGATGACATTTATTCCATGCAGGTGACACGATATATTAGAAGAACCTCAAATGTAGCAAATGCTATTACTTGGTAAGATCCCAAGAGGGTTTAAGAATGCATTTAAAGGATTGAAATTTAAGAAATAACTAGTTTATTGTATGAGTACTTATTTATGTAGAATTTATTTAAGTTATACATAGTATACCATACTTGAGTAGAATGGCATAATATAACATCTTACTTTTTCTTTCATAGTGTATTTTCTTTAGTTTTCCGTTTTATATATTTTATGATAATACTAGAGGTGATAATAATAGACGAACTAAAGTTTACAGTCAACTTATTTTTTGGTTTTATAGTCCATGTGTTATTTTAAGGCATTCAAAAATGAAAAATAATAAATGGGTAAAATAAGTTGCATTTGTCTTAAGCATATTAATTTTAGGAATTACAAATGTACACAACTGCCTTTTCTGAGGTAGAAACCATTAAAATTGTTAAGTTACAAATAACCAAGTTTTCCCCTACCACTCCTACATATAAATCGACTTTTTCTGAATGAATTAAATATATATTCTATGGCATTTTACCATGTTTTAAAGATTCAACTATTTAATATACATTGCTACACTATCAAAGCTATGATAACAAGAGAGAGAAAATTTCAAAACCAAGAAAAACTATTTTCCGCATAAACAAAGTAGGTATCTAAGAAAATTGAAACATTTTTGCATTGTAAAAATTCAGTTGAACAAATTTCTTATAAGTTTATTGAATGTATCTATAATTGTCTGAAGTACTAAAGAGTGTGATTTTTGTTAAATAATTGTCTTAATTTGTTACATGTTAAATAAATAATTATATTTCAAATTAATTTATAGTATGCAAATTAAATGTATTTTCATGAATAAATAAATTGGATTATCATCTAAACCGTAGTTTAACTTCATAACTTTTTAGATCGATGTGCAGATTTCCTGTAACTATAACACTAACATTGTTCTCCTGAAAGTAAATTTAGACAGAAAACGTGCTGTCAGTGTCAGACCGAGTAGTCCGTGTCTGTCAAACTTGTGTCTAGACAAATTGACTGTCAAGCTCCGTGTTTAAAGGAAGCGGTTCAGGTATTGATATACACTTTCGTTGTAGTGTTTGTAATCAAATGGTCAAATATTCATGAAAAAGTTTTCGGCATACACTCGTTTATTCGGCAATGTAATTGTTGTAAAGTGAAAAAAACACGTCGTTAATTGTTGTAAATCACATTAACCTCAATAGAAGACAAACTAAATATCAAAGGTTACTAAAATCCAAATAGAAATCAGATTTATATCAATTAGCAAAATCAGAAATTATAACAGCATTTACAAACATGTCGTATAGAATAACTTGAATAAGGTACAAAACCCCATAAAGGAAAGCATGAAAAATGCAATTTACATGCTTCTTAAACATAAAAAGAAATGAGGCTTCCAATAGAAATTTAGAATACGTCATACGGGTAATCTATGAGTAAGTTTGGATTCTTAAAAAATCATAATCATCATGTGATAATTGTAAACGGCCTTCTTTATAAAATGTGGTTATTTATTTGATGCATCAGCAATTGAACGATTAATTTTTATCGATAAATAATGAGTATATTTTACTTTTGAAGGTTGAACATAATGGAACTATAATGGGCCCACGGATATATGTTTGCTGCACAGAAATGCACCATCATGTTCGACTATGTATAAAACATTTCGAAATTTCATAGTATGAAGATAAATGTTTTAGCGCCTGCGATAAATAATCTACGACTGATGGCTTTTACAAACAAAACAGTAGGAAAGAAAATATAACATGTGTCAGAGTAAACAATTTGAATACCCAAGAAATTAGAGCTCTGTAATTAAGTGGTATGGGTTTTCAACAATTATTCACCATTTTTATGTTTTGGTTAACAATTTGAATAAACTAAATCTTATAAAATTATAAGAAATCATAGAATAAAAATAATAAGTTTGATAATCCATATAGGCAATAAGGTCATTATTTACATGGTTTTTAATTTTATAACAGTGTCAATGTTTTTGTAACCACAAGTGTTTGGATATGATACAATCTTCGCAATGAGTCAAACCTATCCTACTTCTATGTTTAGTTTTCACTATTCGTTTATCGCGATTTAAAAACAAAGACATTACCTTTGATTCGTTTGGTTATTAATGAAAAGATATTTTAAATAGTTTATATCCAATGAAGCTACGATTTAGAGTTTCGAGAACGTTAGAAATAAACTTTAAAAAACATTAAATATAAATATAATCAATACGAATGAGCCGATAAATTATTCACTAAACACATACAAATTAAATTATAATTTGTTACTCTGTATTGAAGGTAATTATATCGACCTCCGGACCTCACGCGAAATTAATTTTTTTTTCCCTAAATGTTCGAAATTTCACGCTGATTTCAAAAATGATTGTCGTTTTTTTCGGAAACGTCCCGTTTTCCCGGAAAATGGGAAAAACGGGAAAAATATTTTTTTGCTCAAAACCCATGTTGTGGGTACTCAAATTGTGCGGAATTTCAGTAATCAATAAATTAACGCATACTTATAATCTCTGAAATACAAAACTGATCTAAATTGCGTATTCGTTCAAGATAGATAAATTAGCAGAGGAGAGTTGGGTGTAAACTAAATCAGAACAACATGTCTGGGTTAGAATGATATCCAACTAAAGAAAATAATCTCTCGTTTTGTCCGCATGTCGCAACCCAGAACTTGTTTTGTTAGACATTTCATACCTAAAGTGTTACTAATGTTTTATATAATTAAACCTTTGTCAACTAAAAATAATCTTCTGTGGAATTTATTTATTTTTAGTTCATTATTTCACATTCATTATTTTTAGTTTTCACTTTTGTATGAATTACTGTAGTGTAAATAAGTCTGTGGTGTAAAAAAATACAAAAAAAATGTTGAGAAATGTTTTCTTTTGCATTACTCTTAAGAATAAAAATTACTGTTAGAACCACGAATATAACCATTCACTGTTAGGAAACCCCCGTATTAATCACGGTGAGATTACAAACCCCACGAAATGATAGGCTAAGATTAATTGAGTTTTAGAATATTAATTATATTTACATAAAACAAACTAAACACTCAATCATAAGCAGATTTCAGCTCACATATACAACATTAGACGTTAACTGTTATACAATGCAGTTCATATTTCACAGCATAAATCACACAGTATTCAACATGGTGTAGCATTAACGTAAAAGTAAACTCTGCATCATCATGATTATCATAAAAAAAGATTCTCACTGTTTCAGTTACAAAACTGTGACTTAATAATACCAACCACTATGTTTCCTCAGGTAGTCTTTGGTCAGGTTAGTGGTTAGGTTAATGTACACATTCCTGATGTTAACAATATTAGTCGCTGCACATGGTTAAGAGGTAAAATGTTGAGAAATTTATGATATGTGTTCGAAAAGTATATTTTATTTTAGCTAAATAAACCCAGCATTTGGGTGAACATTGCAAAAGGGGGGTTTAAACCATTATTTATTTATACGTCATCCTTTGTGATGCCTAGATAATATTAATTGAGGAAATCGCAAACTATTACAACATAATAACCAACTTCCAATACTATCATTCAAAGAATAATCACTACCTTTGTATATGTAAAATCACACAACTTTACTATATTTCAATGACTTTTCCAAGCTGGACGACGTATTCTGGACCCCTTCTGTGGATCTTTTTTTACA